CCCCCTCCCCTACCCACTTTGATGCATTTTTCAAATTTCGCCTTGGGGCGGAGTTATCTTTTCACGGGGGGGCGGGTAAGATACACTTTAAGCAGCGGCAGCAGAGACAAGCCTTTGTTTTGTTTTGTTTGTGCTAATCAGGCTCAGGCTCACACACAGACAGTGACTCTGAGCATGAATGCAGTTTCCAGCTCTGAAGAAGCTCATCGTCCACGCAGGAGGAGATGATGACATGAAATGACAATCAGAAATCTTAAAAAAAGGATTTCATTCATTTGCTGAATCAAACTCAGAGCCTTGAGATGGAGCTGATCATCAGCGAGCCCGTCCCCACAGATGAACAGTTCAGTAAACTGCTGTTAAACAACTGGCTTAAAAAAGTCTGAACTCAGTGAACTTTATCTACAATTTAACCTTTTTATGAAGAGAAGAAGGTAATCAGCTGATGTGCCTCACAAAAGTATTCGGCTCCCTTGAATTTTTAGGCTTCAAACATAAAGATATTTTAATTTTTGTGAAGAATCAACAACAAGTGGGACACAATCAGGAAGTGGAACAAAATTTATTGGATATTTTAAACTTTAACAAATAAAAAACTGAAAAATTGAGCGTGCAAAATTATTCGGACCCCTTGCGTTAAAACTTTGTCGCTCCACCTTTTGTTGTGATTACAGCTGCAGGTCTCTTGGGGTTTGTCTCTATCAGTTTGACCAGTTCTTGCTTGTAAAACAGCTGGAGCTCAGTGAGGTTGGATGGAGAGCGTTTGAACAGCAGTTTTCAGCTCTTTCCACAGATTCTGGATTGGATTCAGGTCTGGACTTAGACTTGGCCGTTCTAACACCTGGATACGTTTGTGAACCAGGCTCTGCTTTAAGTTTTGGATCATTGTCTTGTTAGAAGATAAATCTCCGTCCCAGTCTCAGGTCTTTTACAGACTCCAACAGGTTTTCTTCCAGAATGGTCCTGGATTTGGCTCCATCCATCCCCCCCATCAGGTTGAACCATCTTCCCTGTCCCTGCTGAAGAAAAGCAGGCCCAAACCATGATGCTGCCACCACCATGTTTGACAATGGGGACGATGTGTTCAGGGTGATGAGCTGTGTTGATTTTACACCAAACATATCGTTTTACATTGTGGCCAAAACGTTTGATGTTGGTTTCATCTGAGCAGAGCAGCTTCTTCTACGTTTGCTGTGTCTCCCAGGTGGCTTTAAACTTTAAATGAGATTTTTTCCTGATACTCCTGTTTCAATATGATCACTTGCACAGAGCTCCTTGAGATGTTTAAAGCTTGGGAAATCTTTTTGTACCTAAATCCAGCTTTAAACTTTTCCACAACAGTATCCAGGACCTGCCTGGTGTGTCCCTTGGTCTTCATGATGCTCTCTGAACCCTGAGCCTATCACAGAGCAGGAGCATTAAGACATTGATTACAGGTGGATTCTGTTTATCGTCATCAGTCATTTAGGACAACATTGGATCATCAGAGATCCTCAATGAACTTCTGGAGTCAGTTCACTGAAAGTAAAGGGGTTAAATAATATTGCACGCCCCACTTTTCAGATTTTTATTTGGTGAAAAAGTTTAAAATATCCTATAAATTTTCTTACATTTCATGATTGTGTCCCATTTGTTGTTGATTCTTCACAAAAAATAATTTATATATTTATGTTTGAAGCCTGAAATGTGTCAAAAGTTTGAAAAGTTCAACAGGGCTGAATACTTTCACAAGGTTCTGTGTCTCAGGAGCCTGAAGGAGCTGCAGCCGACTGAGACGAAGAAGAAACATGAAGTTCAGATGAGGAGACTTCTGCWACAGAACCATGACTGGACCTCCCTCTTAGCACCACAGTCAGAAGAACCTGAACCTTCTCCCCCCAAACTGAAACTTCCTCTGCACCAGAGGACCCTCCAAACCTTCAGCTGAGGATGTAAAGCCAGTCYCAGAAGAAGACCACAGTTCAGAGAAGAGTATTGTTTGGAAACTGATCTGAAGTGGGTTTGGGAGGAGARTAAAGATATACGKRCAAATGAAGAAATAAAAAGRTGGAAAGAGRAAATTATGTATGACTGYTATTCTGAGAARTATTTTTATGTCTGGGAGGAAAAAAWGTAATTTCTGGTGTTGGAAATGTTTATAAATATTCTGTTATGATGCAMAAATGTTAGATACTTTTAAATGAAGAGCAATTTACATGTAGTTTTGTGTTGACAGTTTTTGTTAGCTGTTCTTTGCTTTATTCTTTTTTTTYCATCCTACTGTGAGTCTGTGCTGACCTGAGTTGTCACAGCAGCGCCCTCTGGTGACCAGGAGCAGAAACTACATGCTGTGACTTTAAACTGGACTGTTTCAGAAGGTTTAGTTCAGTTTGTTGGATGTGTGATGACCTCAGAGCTGCATTGTGTTGTTTAGATGTTAAACACTGGAAGAACTGACATAAGGAACATCTGGAGGACTTGTAGGTTCAGCCTGAAGTGAGACGGTATTTTCTTGAAGTATTTCTTATTAATACTTCTCAGTAATATAAAACACCTGATATGGATGGTAGGTGGGCGGGGCTAAGTGACTGTGTGCAGAAGACAGCAGGAGATAAATATAAATAATAAATATAATATAAATATATACAATCCTTTATAAATATCTATGGCAGCATCATGATGATGGAGAAGTAGAGGTACCAGACAGTACCTAAATACAAATACTTTGTTACTGTACTTAAGTAGATTCTTTGGGTATCTGTACTTTACTTGAGTAATTATTTTTCAGCCTACTTTTTACTTCTTCTTACATTTTTACACAATTATCTGTACTTTCTACATCTTATATATTTTTTAAAGATAAGAAGTAGAGAGTCATTTCTACTATTTTGTTTTGGCTTGTTAGTGTTAAAAATACWATTTTTAAAAATCGTGCATCCAGGATAGAGTGAATTTATTTGTAGTTGGATGAGAAGTATAAATGAGAAGTCTGCTCTGATTACTGTATTGAACTTATTTTATTGCTTTGTTTTTCTTTAAGTAAGTAAGTAAAGTTTTATTTATAAAGCGCCTTTC